TTTTTTTTTTAATTTGTTATTTATAAGAAAGAAATAACAAGCAAAGGACTGAAGAATCAGGTGCAATACCTTGAAAACATGTTAAGTGAAAGAAGCCAGTCAGAATGGAACAAATATGGTATGATCCTCTTTATATGAAATGTCCAGAATATGCAAAGCCATAGACACACAAAGTAGATTAGTTGTTGCCAGGGGCTGGGAAACAGGCAGGGTTCGGGATTGGGAGGTGCAATCATTGGGTACAGGCTTTCTTTTGGGGGTAATAAAAATGATGTAAAATTGATTGTGGTGCTGGTTGCACAACTCTGTGAATATATTAAAAGCCATTGAATTGTACACTTTAAATGGGTGAATTGTGTGGCATGTAAATAACACCTCAATAAAGCTGTTGTAAAAAAATAAGGTGCGGTTTATGGACTGTATGTGAACAACAGTAGCTTTAAGGAAAAGCAAACAAACAAATATCAAAAGGAAAGAAGTTGAAGGGAAAAAAAAAATCCTTCCTTCCCACCAAGGCCAACCTGATGAACAAAACATTTAAGTTTTCTCTATCTCTACAAAATATCTTCTATGACGATCAATTTAGAGAATGCATGAGGTAAGATGTGCAAACATAATGTATTGGCTTCCCATGGAAAACTGCTAAAATCAGAATAAGCAGAGCCTTCCTACCACATGAAAAGAGACCTTTAGTATAAAATGTTCCAGGTTAGTATGATCAAAATGTCAAATATGAGACTATTTCATAACAACGTGAGAGGTGTTAGTAATGGAAATTTGAACAATGTTAACACTTAAAAATTCAGCAGAACCATTTCAATCCATAAATGTACAGAAGTCATTTTACAGTGTGCTTAACAGTCAAGACCAAGAGCTGCTATAAAAGAAGACGCCCTCAATGTCACTTCATGTTCTTTTATTCTTATTATCACATTGAAATGTCTCTGTAAAGTGGTCTTGATAGGTAACTTTATTACACATTTCCAGACTATTCATTCTGAACAGAACTTCCTCCAAGAAATTAACAGATAAAGAGAGACCACTTTCCTGTCATCATCCCTAAATTAATACTGTAACTACAGAGAACAGGAATAGCAACGTGCATGTTATAAGGACGTGGAATGCTAGCCCTCCTAATGGCTCAGTAATCTTAGAGGTGACT